TGAAAAGTTCAAGAAGTTTAAACAGGAAGTGGAGAATCAGTTGGGCAGGAACATTAAGATGCTTCGATCCGATCGAGGTACTGAGTATCTTAGTACAAAGTTCCTTGACTATCTTAAGGAATGTGGGATTGTCTCACAATTGACACCTCCCAGGACACTATAGTTTAATGGTGTGGCTGAGAGGCGTAATTGAACCTTGTTGGTTATGGTTCGTTCCATGATGAGTCGAGCTTCGCTACCAATCTCATTTTGGGGGTACGACTTAGGCACTGCCACCCATATTCTTAATCTAGTCCATACCAAAAAGGTTGCCAAAACACCTCACGCGATGTCGACTGGAAAAGTTCCCAATCTGGACCACATCAAGATTTGGGGTTGCGAGGCTTTTGTGAGGCGCGAGACTCACAATAAGCTCGAACCTCGAAGTGAGAGGTGTATTTTCATCAGCTACCCACATAAATCCTTTGGTCACCTCTTCTACATACCCACTAATAATGTGGTATTTGTATCAATGAGAGGAGTCTTTCGCGAGAGAGAGTTCATAAGTCAAAGAAAATAGTGGGAGGCAAATTGACCTTGAATAAATTCAAGATTCAAGTGGTGAAGGATCCCAAACCGTAGCAATCAACCTGAGGAGGAAACCCCTGTTGATCCGACAGGTGAGTCTGTACCTATGAGGCGTTCCACGAGAGTTAGAAATGCACATGAGCATTACTATGGTTTCCATATTACTACGGAAGGTGATACACTTATCAGTGATAGCACACTGGTAAGTTTGGATGAACCTAATAGCTACACAGAAGCCATGACAGGCCCTGAGGCTGCTAAATGGAAAGAGGCTATGGACAACGAGATACAGTCCATGTATGACAATCAAGTTTGGAACTTGGTTGGCAATGTACCAAGTCGTAAGACAGTCGGGTGCAAATGGATCTTCAAGAAGAATACTGACATGGATGGTAATGTACACACTTATAAAGTACGACTGGTTGTAAAGGAATTTTCTCAAACTCCGGGAGTTGATTATGATGAGACCTTTTCACCAGTAGCGAATATTAAGTCTATTAGGGTAATGCTAGCCATTGCTGCATTTCATGACTATGAAATATGAAAAATGGATGTCAAAACCATTTTCCTTAATGGAAAGTTGATCGAGGATGTTTACATGAGTCAGCCTGAGGGTTTTGTCAACATAGACTACCCTAATAGAGTGTGTAAGCTTGAGAAATCCATCTATGGATTGAAACAATCATCTCGCAGATGGAATTTTTGTTTCGATGAGAAAGTCAAACAGTTTGGATTTTCGATGAGCGAAGATGAATATTGTGTATATGTCAAGGCTAGTGGGAGTATAGTTAGCTTTTTGGTATTGTATATGGATAACATAATACTCATAGGAAATGACATCCCAACTCTGCAGGAAGTGAAGTCTTGGCTTGAGAAATGTTTCACTATGAAAGACCTTGGTGAAGCTGCCTATATCCTAGGGAAAAAGGATTTTGAGAGACAGAAGTAAGAGACTAGTTGGACTTAGTCAAAGTAACTACTTGGATAAGGTGCTGAATATGTTCAGCATGTAAAGGCTGAGATAGCTGAGATGAGTCGAGTATTGTATGCTTCCGTTGTAGGCTTGATCATGTATGCTATGACTTGTATTCGTCCTGATGTGGCCGTTGATTTGAGCATGGTCAGTAGATATCAGGGGAACCCTAGCAAGGCTCACTGGACTGCGGTAAAGAACATTCTCAAGTACCTGCGGAGGACTAAGGATTGGGTTCTTACCCTCGGTAGGAGTGATGACTTGAGAGTAGTAGGGTATAGTGATGCTAGCTTTCAGACTGATAGGGATAATTTCCACTCTCAGTCAGACTGGGTCTTTACCTTAAATGGAGGAGCAATTACTTAGAAAAGTTCCAAGCAGGAGACATTGGCTGATTCAACTTGCAAATCAGAGTATGTAGTGGCAAGCGAGGCAGCAAAGGAGGCTATATGGTTAAAGAACTTCATTGGTGACCTTGGAGTTATACCAGCTATATTGGTGCTTATGGAGATTTTCTGTGATAGTGAAGTGCAGTTGCCTTAGCCAAGGAGCCAAGGAGCCAAGGGATCACGGAAGATCCAGACACATCGACAGAAAATACCATTTCATCAGACATCGAATAAAAGAAGTACTCCTCGTGACAAAGAGGGTATAATCGGATGAGAACCCAACAGATCCCCTCACGAAGGGACCGGGTAGGGTTAAGCATCTTCAGCATGCGAGGCGCATAGGGCTAAATGATGATATTAGTTTTATAAATTAGATAGCTTTGAAATTTGTAAAGTATAATTGACATTTGATGATAAATAAAAGTTGTTGTTTATTTATAAGTAAAGTCTTTCTATCTTCTGTCAATCGTTTACTATCATTTCATTTTGCATGTTTTGATTTCCAAAATAATTATGTTATGGTATATCATATTATTCAAATTCTCCACAGTCGGTCAAATGTTGGAAGTAGATATGAATCAAGACTGTCATGAAGTTAGTTGTAGATGTCTAAGGTGTTGGACATAGCAAGAGTTGCTACAATACTCATGAGTGTTCATAAGTTATGAGTATTGGATTCAACCCACGCTCACTTGTATCACTTCATGGAATTTATCTCGAATGATCGTGAGACGGTAATATTATATAAGTCTTCAAACCTAGAGATATGAGTTTTTAACTATGAGTTGGTTATACATTGATTGTACAAAAATGCATTGGTAACTCGATGTTATAAAACGTGTCGTTGTGTATGATTCAACAAGTAGTAGAACAAGCATATGAGTCGAATTTTATATGTTCCTTCTTGGATTAGAAGCGATATCTGAGCCCCTCGATGATTTTGTGTTGACCTATGTATTGGGCTCGGTCAGAACTAAATTGATGTGTTCGATTAAGTTCTATGTCAAACAAATCGGAAATTGGGAAACAAACTGTTGGATAATAAGTAAGATATTGTTCCATGTATTTTTCCGGCTGATATCTAGAATAGAGGATTATATGATCACTTATCTTAAATGGCATATCATCATCATCTCAGTTCCGCGAGACCTTGAAAGAGTTATGATTGCTGATCGGTTCCTAAAGTCATTCTTGCAGTTATAGTTATTAGACGTATCCAAGTGGGAGACTGTTGGATTAGGTGTCTAAGTTCATAACTATTTATGGAATGTACTTGACCCGATTAACATGGTCTATTTTGGGTTTCATGGCATTGCAACAATGGGATAGACTAAATGAGAGAAATGACACTTATGGTTTATTAATATATTATAAGTTCTAATATATTAATAATATTATTTAATTAGTATTAATCAAGAATTAATATATAATTAATTTGGTGATCAAAAGGAGACTAATTAAATATATGGGGTTGATTGTGTAAATCATTCATTCTTATATATTGGGCTAATGATCCATGGTTTATTAAGTTTTGCTAAAACCCATAAGGTGCTCCATGGATAGTTCATGGAGGTTATGAACCCATGGATCATGGAATATGAAAAGCCATGCACATTAGGGTTTACATGGTGTAACCCTACATGTGGCACACTATATAATAAGCTCCATGGATAGCAACATCGACGACTAAGAAAGAACTAGAGGGCTAGCCGATTTTGAGTGTTAGTGAACTTCTCTCAAGGTTATTTAAAGAGTTGTGGTGTTGTGTGAAACATATGAGGCATCACACTTGAGGTGCTAGGCTCACAATGTTCTCAAGGAATCCAAGCAACAAGAAAGGTATGTTCTTCTACTAGCTTTTATGTTTCAAAGTTCCCCATGCTATGCTAGTTAGGTTAAGAACCTTGGAAATCAAATTTGCATGTATCTTAGTAAAACATAGATCCAAGGTTTCTAGGGTTGCATGTACACCTTAGGAGTGTTAAAAATGCTCAATACCCTTCATACATGTTTGTATGATTGGGTTGAAATAAACCATTAGGGATGGGCCCATGAGTATGCGATGGGTTGAAAGAGACCCTATAGTTGGGCCCCAAGGCTAGGCCCATGATTGTATTTTGGGTCTGAGTATACCCAAGGCTAGGCCTAGTTGTATGTTTGGTATGTGATATTTTGGGGAACTCGTTAAACGAGAAGGTCGCGGAAACACCAATCGCCATGTCTTGGGCACTTGGTACGAAAAACTTAATGGATTAAGCTGTTATACTCAATCCCAACAACTCTAATGCTTAAATCCGGTTCCCCTCAAGGTCTTGATGGATTAAATTTCCAACTTTATCCATTAAGGCATCCTATTAAGGCAATATCTCAAATTCTAAGTCCTAAATGACAACACCGAGGCATGAACTCGCTCATTAAGCCAAACATGCCAACTTATAAAATGACCTAAAACTAGATATAGAGAAATAATGAGCAATGTAGAGACTTTATACCTCCAATGAATCAAAAATGAGATGAAGATGATGAATCTAAGTTGTAACCATACCTATAAGTAACACCAAGAGCTCCTTCTTCCTTTTGACCTTCACAAAAATGGAGTTCAAGTTCTCAAAGCACAAATGAAGGCTAGGGTTTGGATGGAAGTTTGTTTTCAAATGGTGGATGCTACCAAATAAGGCAACTCAAGGAGTTAGTGTCATTAAATAAGACACCAACCCCGAGATTAGGATTTTAGGCCCAAAACCATTGTCACACCGTGGCCAATCGCGAATGCACGTTTTTTATTAATCAAGTGCCATATCATGGCACTCCAATGTCACATCGTGACCAAACTAACAAAGTAAATAATTAAAACTTAGAAATTAATACCTGGAACAAGGATGTTACAAACAACTCTCTCAAAGCCTTAAAATCAAAATAAGTTTGTTGTATAAATACTGGTCATTTAAAAACGTCACAAAAAAACCAAAAAAAATATGATGACGTTTTTTTATTTTCAATAATCATGTTGTTTATGTGATCAAAGAACTTTTAACAACAACAAACCTACCAATTTTAGATTAGTTCGGAATCGGAGGTCCAATTGTAAAATTTCATCGCGTTAACCTAAATGAGGCCTTTTTCACATAAACTGTTTAGTTGGGCCAAAAGTCTCTATTCGAAACATTTCGGGGTTATAAACTTATAATTATAAATCGGCCTAGGGTTTTAATATCATCTGCTGCCGTCTCTACCGAACATCGCCACTGCAAATGCAATAGGTAAAGAAGGTAGAGTCGCCGTCGCCGTACTTAGTACCGGAGTAATCCCGCAACCTCTACAGGTTTATTTTCGGTAAGTTTCTATCAGCTCCTCGTATATCTGATCATACATATTGTTTATGTATTATCAGCTCTTCGTATATTTTGATGGCAACATTAACTGAAATTGTGCTTAACAGAAGCTAGAAGATGGCGTATGCAGCGATGAAACCAACAAAGCCAGGGCTTGAAGAGCCTCAAGAACAGATTCACAAGATTAGGATTACCCTTTCCTCCAAGAATGTTAAGAATCTTGAAAAAGGTCCGTGTTCTTTCAACCTCAGTTATTTCAGCAGATCCTTTAACCTATCTGTTCATTCTTGTGTAAGTAGTTATGATGTGTAGGGGAATCTGTGTTCTTCATTGGTTGTTACTAACAAAATGACTAAACTACCATGATCTAATAACCATTTGATGTCTATATTAGTGATTGTTTAGAAGAGTCTTGACAAACTTTATTGAATTGGGGATTTGTGACAGTGTGTGCTGATTTGGTTCGTGGTGCAAAGGACAAGAAGTTGAGAGTTAAGGGACCAGTTAGAATGCCCACCAAGGTTCTTAATATCACAACCAGGAAGTCTCCTTGTGGTGAAGGTAATTCAACTTTTCATTTTGCTTGTGTTATACTACAAGTTCATCTCATAATTTCTAATGAAAGAACAACATTTAATTTTTGTATTTGATGTTTGTAATAATGTAGGAACAAACACATGGGACAGATTTGAGCTTCGTGTTCATAAACGTGTGATTGATCTTTTCAGCTCACCAGATGTTGTGAAGCAAATCACCTCCATCACCATTGAACCTGGTGTTGAGGTTGAGGTCACCATTGCCGATTCTTAGATTTCCAACTGTTGTTTGACTTGCCCCATACATTTACTATGTTCTATTTTGGGTAAGATTTCATATAGGTTAAATACTTTTTGTATTTTTGCAAGTGTTTCAAGTGAAGAAATTGAGAGTCGTGTTTATTTTTAAACTATTGTATTTTCATCAACTTAGTGCATTTCAAAGTTCATGCCTAGTTTAGTTTTTTCGATTGGTGTGTAGTATCATGTGAGATTTTGGATTGGATTCGTAAAACCATTTTGAATATGTAGAAGGAAAAAACAGAAAATGGGTGATCTCATGTAACAAATTGATCACGTTTCTTGGCATTTTAGCATAATTATAATTTCCCCTAACCACAATAACCTTGAAAAAAAAGATTCATACTTTGAAATTATATTGGCAAATTATTCATATGTTAGCAAATTCTGAATTTGCAAAAATTAAAATAAGAATTACGCTTTAGTATTTTTGTCACTTTTTGCCAAGTAATACTAATTTTGCAATTTATTGAAATTTTGAATTAACCCACTACAAAATAAGTAGGGATGAGGATTTGGACTGAATTGGAACGAATCTGACAACATGCAATGTGGAGGCTGCAAGCCGACGAAACATTTGCTATCCAGTGGTTTATGAGTTATTTGAATATTCACAAGTTTAGGTGAATTATCTGAGTTGTATTAAATGTTTTTAACGAGTTTATCATAAAGAAAACACAAGTTACTTAAAATGAGATGATGGTATTCCATCTTCAAGTAATTGTAGCTCAATTTCTGTCACCAAATGAGGCGAGCTTATGTTCTAAAATGAAATATAAGCAAACGACATGTTGGAAAAAATAATGACATTTTAAAGATTCAACGTTATTTAGAAAATCTGAAAACATTTCATACCTGTTTTCGGGAGAGTATAACTCAATGTAACCAAATAAAATGAATTTCTAGCCTAAAATGAAGTACAAACCATATATCATCTCATTTTGACTTCAAACATATTAGGTATGACAGTTTAAAGAATTTTACAAATTTTACATTATGCAGATAACAAATTTAACATTATGCAGATAACATTCCAAAAAAAGCAATTTTACAATCTTGATATGGATTTTATTCTTCAAAATTGAAATAATTATCGGAACATAACGAGTACTTATTAAAAGTTTAAAAGTTATGACTTATTAAATAAACAAAACTAATAGACGAAAATTTTAGGTTTAGTGGACAAACAGTATAAGATAATATTGGAATGGTGCTCCTCCTCAGATGGTTGAGGATTCTCGAAATAACCAAAAAATTGTAGATTGAAGTTATGATTTTGGTCAATTTGCCTCAACTCGATAAATTCCATAAATGTGTAAAATACTCAAAACCAACTTCAAAAGCAAACCTTATTTTTCTACCAATACCACATAATTACGTAGAATCACAATATCTACCAAAAATCACCAACAAAAATTCCAAGATAATGTAAAAGTACCCTATAAACATAATATTCGTAAACAAAAAAATGAAACTTGGCTTCATAAACAACCTTACAACACCCATATAAGAAAGATCCCACACCAACAACCAAACACACAAACACAAAAAGTTAAATTTTTTAGCCCTTTGTATGCTTAAAGTGTGGGAGATAGTCAACGTATTTACACCAACAAATACCACCCCCCACACATTTCAAAGGACAAAGTTACTCAAATCCTCTTTTAAACTCCCAAAACCATTCATACTCATAGATACACACTTAACTCTATCAAACTATCCAAAAAAAAAAAGTCAATAATCTCAACACGAATCCAAGATTTCAAGATCCACCACCCGCAAATTTCTGTGCACCCATGAGACTTTTAGTCAACCAAATCGCTGTTTCCCTTGAAGAAACCGTTTCTTCCCCAAACGGTTTCAAAACAGCAGCAAGCTCTTCAAGTTTCTCTTGTTTTAGCAACCTTGCACATAACTCAAGCAAAGACTCTAACGCATCAGCCCTTTGTTGAGTCGGGTTCAGCCATTCAGACGATGGTTCTGGTTCAGCCACCGGTGCACCCTTCTCAGCCTCCTGGTCCACAACCAGCTTAACCGGTTCAGACTCAACGGCTCTCGGTTGCGGTTGCGGTTGCGTTTGCGTATCCACCTCACAAATAATCACCCGATTCGACACATTCTCTTCATCACCCAATTCACCTGTGTTCGATGTAGTAGTCTCCTCCACAAGATTATCTTTTTTCTCATTTCCCAAATTACCCTCGTCACGTTTTTCGAGAATTTGAGGACTTGTTTCCTCTTGCTCTCCATTCGAAAGAAGATCCAGAGAACTCGATTTCATGCTCACTTTTTCCGGCCCATCCCCGTTGCAAACCGTTGTTGTCTCGCAACTCGTGTCCCCACTAAAGTAACTCGTGGGGTCCACTCTTTTGGTCTCGAGATTTGTTTCTTCCATGAATATCGGGTTGTTGTGTAAACTTCTAACCGGGATCTCAGCGTTTTCGTTTGTGACTTGTACTTTCTGCTTAAGGACTTGTACATCACGTTCTTTTTCTTTTGTGTCGTTTTGTTTCATGGGAGAATGTTTTTTTGGAGTTTTGTTGTCTTTTGGGCTATTTGGAGGCTTCACGGGTAGAAATACAGAAGACGGGTTGTGACACTTTAGGAGGTAATGTTGTAAGTGTGGGTGTCTTAGCAGTTCCGCCGCCTATTGTTTTTTTGAGGAATACGATGATTAGATAAAATAATAATAAAAATATTTAATAAAAATATTTGTCGACTTACTGTTGGTCTATGTTCCGGACTTTTCCTTAACATGGTTTTTATGATCTGTTTCCTGGAACATTAACAAAAAATATATATATGTATCGTTTTTATATTTAAAGATTAAGATAAATTATTAGAAATTCTTTTGGGCTTAAAAAATACTTACAATGTTGAAGAATATACGATGGGGAGAGGAGAAATCGTGGATCTGTTTATTTTGTTGATAAGTCCCGACATATCCTGCAAGATTGTTTGACTTTGACCATTATTTTTTTGTGATATCATAGTGGGCAAATTGGTCATTTTACTTTGGAAACTTCCGATAAAGAAAAAAGTAGCAATTTCCATGGGACAGAATTCAGGAGTCGTTTTTTTTTTCTAGATCTTAAAACTACAATAACTAAAGTTGTAAAGAAAAAAGGGAAAACTAAATCTCAATAATGTAATAACATAAATAGCTTAAAATAGAACTTACGGGAGCTCGAAATGGTTGTTGATGTGCACAAATTTCAAACATGCAACAACCTAAGGACAAATAAGAATAAAAAACAATAAAGTATAATGCATAAAAAAATGGGACCTTAAAAAATTAAAATAATGTGACAAATGTGTTGTTACCAAGTGACCAAATATCAGATTTATAGCCATAAGGAATGTCTGCAAGGAGTTCTGGACACATATAGTTGGGTGTGCCCACAACCTACACATTCAATAGCCATAAAAGAAATATTATAATTTTAAAAAATAAAAGATTAATCTCCATTCATGAAAAGTATTATATTATAAATTTATAATAAGTAGATTACCGAGGAAGCAAGGTCTTCTGAATTGAGAAGTTTTGCAAGTCCAAAGTCACCTGTTCATGCCCAAAGTCTTTAGAAATACCAAAAAAAATTTGAATTTGAATTTTATTTTAAAATATAATTTATTTTTTACCAAGACGGATATCGTTCTCCTTTGTGAGGAATATGTTGGAACACTGAAATTAGACAAAAAAAAATTGAAAATTTTAGTGTTGTGTATTGAAATAATGTTTAAAGGTATTGAAGAAATGATAACGGGCATGAGGAAATGGAAGGAAAAAATAAACGAGGGCAAACTTGTGAAAAGTTTGGAATTCATGGGTAAAGTAGAATATTTATTGAATAAAATAAAAAGAGGAGCTTACCTTCAAATCCCTATGAAGGACACGATTCGTATGCAAGTAATCCAATGCCAATAATAGTTGTGTTAGCCATTTGCAGAGTTTCTATGAACAAAAATAAAACAATAAATCAACTTGGTATAATCGAATATTATAAATAATAAAAGAAACAAGAAATTAAGTTAAAAGTTTTTATTTATTTACCTCTTCCGGGAAATATGCTCCTCTAGCCTTTCGTACAAGCTCGGCTCTAATTAACCAAAAAGTTAGTATCATTTAATTTTTCAATTATAATCATTAAAATTTTAAATTCCAATTATTCATACTACTTTGGGCTCACATGATTCCCTTAATTTCTTTTTTCATTTGCTTTAATTTCAACTAAAAGTCTAATGAAGTTACTTACATGTCTCCTCCTTCACAATAAGCAGTCACTATGCATATTCCCGCCTACAAAACAAAAAATGACCAAAAAGAGAAAGAATATGTAAAAAAAAAATCTAAAAGGGTAGGATAGTCATTTCAAGTCAAGCGGATCGGGAGGAAAGTCTTCGTGTAGAATCTTTCTCCTTGTATATGTCAAAATGGTTGTTCTTATATATGGGAATTTAAATAAATAAAGAAGTCCGTATTAGTATATTACCTTATCCACCCAAGCATCCTTGTACTCCACAACATATGGATGATTAAGTCGTGATATCAAATCCATCTACAATAAAATTCATATAACGAAAATGATGGATCTTGAATTTATATTAGAATGACAACAATAAAATTAGTAAACTATCAATTCATTTGCTATCTTTCAGAAAATTATGATTTTAAATTAGCCACAATGACATCCATGTCGAAGTCATCCCATTATAAAAACTATTTATGACTTATCGCAGATTGTTGACATTTAATATTTTGTTACAAAATTCATGTATCCTCGTGTTCTTCTTCCCAGAATAAACGCCATTTTTTTAGTACTATGGTCTCATGAGTTACTTTCAAATTGTAAGATACTAAATTGGCAAAGATTTTCTAATGGGTCACACAAATTAATATTCAAGATTCAAATGCAAATCTAATTACGAAAAAGGTAATAAACTAGTAATTAATTAATAAGAACTCTGAAAGAAATACCTCTTGATGCGCTGTTTTCTTAAACTTCTCAGTTTGTTTATTCAACCTAATCTTCTTCATGACATACCTGGTTATAAAAAGGAATATCGATTATCAAGAACTGCATATTCATGGCGTATAATTTAATTTGCATTTGAAACCCTAAACCCTAGAAATTGCAAGAAATATGAAATAACAAAAGAACAAGACATAGATGATAATTCTTCTTTTGTAGTGGGAATAAATATTTGGGGAAAACACGCACTTCTTTTTTTCAATCTTATGGAGAACAAGAAAAGCAGCTCCAAAAGCGCCTCTACCAATCTGTTCAATAACCTCATAATCATCCATCTTCGACTTGCCATCGCCATTTTCTGCTTCCATTTGGGACATGTTCTTCGAAGCCTAGAAAACTGTGCCAAAAAAGAAGACTGAATTTACAAAACTAAAACGTCAAATAAGCGGATGAATTAGCTAAAACATGAGCAAAACGAAGTGGGTTTTACCTTAAATTAGCAGGAAACACCACAAACTTGTCTGATTTACTCAAAAACTGAAGGAATTTATCTCTTGAAATTTGTGGGTTTTCTTGGAAACTTCAAGGATGCGACTAAAAACTTTCAAGAAAACCTAGAAATGAGAAGTTCATATAAAAAGCTATGAAAATTTCAAACAATGATGATATCAAGCTTCAAGAATGTGGGTAAGAAATAGAAAGAAGATGTGTGTGGGGCAGAAACACTCGATTAAAGTTGAAGCTTAGAGTTGTTTATATCTCGAAATAGGTGGAAAAATAAGACACAAGTAAAGTAGCTCCAACACCATATAGTCTCCATCTACAGATAAACACGCAGAGAGATGAGGATATTAGAAACTCAAGTAAAGGGACATAACACTCGTAAAATAATGATTAAAGATTAAACAAAAGGGTGTGTGTTTTTCTTCGTTAGTTTCATATATTTTGGATCAAAGAAAGGGGTAGTTGGTGACCAAACAGGCGAGAGAGAGAGAGAGAGAGAGAGAGAGAGGGAAGAGACAGAAATATAAAACTAAAAAGTAAATGAAAAATGTAGACTTTGCTTGCAAATACAGATTGAATCGGGGGAGGGGATAGTGGAGGGCATTGATATACCAAGGGAATTTCTTTTGAGCAGTGGCCTACGGTTATGAGGTCAACATCTTCACCTGAAAAACGCCTACAATTTAAATACCCTACAAACCCCAATACAATCTAAATACACCACCAACAAACATCAATACATGTATTTTTTTTTTTTCTAAATAAATATAATTCCATAAAAATATTAATCTAACATAATAATTAACTAGAAATGTTACCCCCGCTACGCAAGGGCTACAAGCTTATCGATAAATATGACAGTCGTAGATAGTGCAAGGATGAAAAAGTCCGAACTTTGCCCCGGATTGTTTTTTTCATGTTTTTATGAAAAAATGTAAAAGTTTTGACTGTAAGGACCAGAAGTGTCAAAATGGCTAAAAAATTAAAGGGGTAGGATTTAGCAACTTTTTAGAAAATTGATCAAAATTGTCAAACCGTTAAAGTTTTGTGATCAAACTTTAAATATTAAAAGGTTCCTAAAAAGTGTAAAAATATTGACTACAATGACCAAAAGTATCAAAATGGAATAAAGTTGCCAAAAAACATCAAAATTTACTATTTCTAATAAAGTCCAACAATAGTATATATATATATATATATTATATATATATATATATATATATATATTATATATATATATATATATATATATATTAAAATAGAAATACTTCCTTACTTAAACTAAAAATTACATTTTAAAAAAAACAAGAAAAAAAAAACCTAAAAAAATAAATCAACATTAACAAAACAGCCTACATACATACAAACACAAAAAAAAAAAAAAAAAAAAAAAAAAAAAAAAAGATAAAACGAAACAATCTAGGATAAATATTTTTCATGATTTTGTTTTTTTTAAACTACTTCGATGGTTGATCCCGAAAGATAGTCGGTTTTTTCCCTCAAAAACTTCATATCGTCTATTTCTTGCTTTTTCGTGTGCTCTTTTTTTACGGCTTCTTTTTCTTTGTTGAATATCAAACATTCAGCAAAATTGTACCGATCAAATGATGCCATTATTTTCCGCATTTCGTTTGCGTCCATGTTGAAATCCGATGCATTGGAATACGACCCATTCCCTTTCTTTTTTTTGTCGTTACCCATTGATCGGACAATTTCTTCTAACTCGAGTTCGTCGTCTTCATTTAAATCTAGCCTAACACAAGCATCAAAAAAAGTTGTGTGTCCACTAGAGCTTCTTTTTGTTCTTTTTTATTGTTTTCTCCTAGTTTGAAGTCGACTTCATATTTTTTCTACCTTAACAATTTCCAAGTCTCGTTAAACTTGAATGTTTTTCCCATTTTCTCACGAAAAAAATGCAAAGCCGCTTAAAGAATTTATCTATCTCATTGACTGTTTATCCTTTAGGTTTTTAGATTATTGTACATTATGTTCATTCTTTAAATAGATTTCGCTATTTATCAAAATTTTGAATTAAGTTGGTGCTTGGTACGGTACTCGTCTTCTACGAAATATCAACCCAAGCTTGTGTCAACACTAGCTCTTCTTAGGGAGTCCATGCTTGAGGCTTTTGTTTTGTACACTCTTGCACTTGTTTTCCTTTACGACATGGTGAGGGTGAGGGGGTTGAGTTTCTCGTACAATTTCATTGTCCGACTCATTGACGCTTTCGTTTTGCACTTGAGAGTGAAAAGGGTGGGGCGTGGCTTTTTTTGAGATTGATAAAGTGGGGTTTGGCTTTGGGGTTGATTTGATGAAAGTTAATCCGGAAAACCAACAAAGTTGTTGAACATATTTGGACTAACATTTGGTAATTGCATGGGGTAGTATTGTCAAATATTTTGGTATTAAAATTGTGGAGGTGATTGAATGGGGGTATCAAGTTGGGGATGATAAACCGGTTGGGATGGATCGAAGGCGAAAATGTTTCGAGTTGGGGTACTTGAACTTGAAACATTGATTTTTCTTTTATCGGATTTTGGGGGTGGGTTTTTAGGATTGTTGGGGTTCCTTTTTTAAGAAAGAAATAGGAATTGATAGAAAAATGTGTGATTTTGAAGGTGAAAGTAGTGGTTAATTTATAGGTGTGTAAAATTGTTGAATATATATATATATATATATATATATATATATATATATATATATATATATATATATATATATAGAAGTAAGTTCATGCGAAAATATAAATATCCTGCGAAAACGCGAAAACAGATTTTATCTTATGAAAATTAAACACATGTACTATAAAAAAGTAATTTTATTAGCAATAAATTAAAGATAGTAAGTTTGAATTGGATGGTGTTATGGTAATATAGATTTAAAGACGGTTTTTATAATTATATTTTTTTCACGTCTTTAATCATTTTTAAATTCATGTTTTCATAATAAAAATGTTAAAAATCATACTTTGCTAATATGAAACAGTTTATCATCTATCATCGATTATCATCATGTATTTCAAAGTTTGGATGAATTATTTTCCAAAATATAATGTTGAGGTGACATAATATCATAGGTTTTTATTGTTTTCGCGTTTTCGCAAATTATTTGCATTTTCGCATGAACCCTATATATATATATATATATATATATATATATATATATATATATATATATATATATATATATATATTCAAATTATAACTGTTAAGGGTAAAAAAACGTATTTTTATATTATAACCGTTAAGGAATGATCTTTAAAAAAAAGGGTCAATGGGGTGAAGAGAGAGGAGACGGAGTAGTATCTCCTCACTACTAAACCACACCGGTGGTGTTGTGTTCCGGCCATGGTTCTGATCCCCACATCCTGCTTCTCGCTTTGTTTCCCTTGAATTAATACGTATCATAGTTTAGGGTACCATTAAATAGAATCCATACAAAAAAACTTTTAAGTATATAAATCTTTTATTTTATAACCCACATAAATTTGTCATATTATACATATTCATATAAAAACATATTTAGATATGAAAAAAATGCATAATTATACATCTATAACATCCCAAAACACTAATAAAAAATTTTCATTTTAAAATCAATAGTTTCAAACATTAGGTTGTTCCAAAACATTCACTATATACAATACTGAAATCATCAGAGTAACAATGCCCAAAAAGTGTGGAAAGCATGAAGGGATGATGTTGTGCCATCACGTCAAGCTCTTCCCTTTAGTACCGGAAGTACTTGAAACCATAAAAACAAAGTGTAAGCACAAACATTAGTGAGTTCCCCCAAAGTATCACAAACCCAACATACAATTGGGCCTAGCCCTGGGGGTATATTTCAACCTAATAAACAAATATGGGCCCCGCCCTAGGGTATATTTCAACATGAACATGCCATAGTGGGCCCCATCTGGGGGTGTATTTCAACTCGACATACCATAGTGGGTCCCGCCTTAGGATGTATTTCAACCCGATCATACCAACAAACATATCACATAGCAGTTAGCATTCTACACAACCAAATAATGGATCGGCATTAGTGCCTTCGACCCATGGATACAGTGAGGAAACTCACCTTACAATCTGATGAAAAAGCTGAGACAACACGCTGCTCCGAATACCAACTCTATCGATCACCATTAAAAATAACAGTGACCAAAACTCATACTAAAACTTAAAATACCCAAAATACCCTTAGGTTAAACTTGGTCAAAATCCTAGTCAAAGTTAAAAGTCAACCGGCTTAATTCAGTCTCAGTGAGTACGGTGGGCGTACTCAACCTGTATGCGGGGCATACTACTCGTTTGACCAAGTATCATAGAGTTTACCGCGTACGCGCAACATACCCTTTGGTACACCCAACGTACGCGTCTACGAACCCTCATTTCTGTTAAGAGCTTAATCTGTTAAGCCCTTTCAACCAAAATCCAAATCTAGTCCTCAAATGATGTCCTTAACTATAAAGTTTCCAACTTTATGGTCTTGCATGGCTAATAAGTGCCCAAATCTAAAAACCTTAACTTCTTAACTCATTAAGACAACCTAGATCATGCATGAAAGGAAACTAATGCCCAAAATCACATTTTTATGACTTATCACACCCTAAAACATCTGAAATGGCAAATCAAAGGTCATGAAGTATTCCATACTCACAAGGATCAAGATTTAGGATAAACAGGTGCAACTTTTTGGAGCTTTATACCTCCAGAATATGCACAAGGGATAGTAGTTGTTGGATCCAAAGGCTCGAGTGAAACACCACCACACAAAGAGTCTTCCTTCACCACCAAGAGCACCAAAATGATATTCCAAAGCTTCAAAACACACCCTCACACTTTAGGGTTTCGAATTGGGAGCTAAGAGGGATGGAGGTTGAAATTAAGAAATGGTATCGGGCTATAATGATGCTTAAATAATCTCCAAACCCTACAACTTGGGGTTTGCACCCTGGCCACGTACGCCCAATATATGCATGCATGCCTTAAATTAAAAAAAAAAAAAAAATACCACTTGGGACTAATTTTGCAAACAATACTCAAACCAACGGTCAAAATAGAATACCTGGAAATCAAGATGTTACAACATCCTAGTTACATTTTTTAAATATATTTCTATATATACAATTTTTGTTTAGCCAACTTATACGTTTTTGTAACGACCGTCATTTGAGGTAATAATTATTAAATATTTCTTCATTAATTGTTGGGCTAAGTGTATATAGAAGGACTAATGGAGTGGACCTTTAGCAAGTAGGCCAAGGACTTGGGCCACCTATAAGTTGTACGCTGGGCGTAGCCTTGGTGTACGCGGGTTGTAAAGACACATTAGATGCGGGGGACGCATGTACAAACGTGCAGCGTACCAAGGAGTACATGCAACGTACATGAGATTCATGTCCCATAAGCAATAAAGTCTTGACTTTGAAGTTCCTTTTATGCCCATGCATGATTTTGGGGTCGCTCCATGAAAGTTAGTTGTATGTTCCAAGTTGGTCTTATTTGGTGGGTTGCAATCCATCAAGTAATCGGATTTATGGATTAGGATAGGTTTTTGGACTCAGATCTGTAAATTGGACTTATTGTATTAAGGGATTAAGCGGTTTTGAAGTAAATGGTTTAACAGTTGAGTCCAAAAACCAGTAGAAACCTCCAACTTCAAATGCTCAGTTGTTGTTTTCATGAGTTCGTCAATGGTGTCCAAGACCCACAACACAACTCCAGATTTTCTTTCATCTTTTTGTTCCCATGGTTGAAACGTGTATATTGTACATTTCTTTGGTAACATTTTATCTCTTGTTTCTTGAGAACATGAAGGAAATTCTGACATATGAAAAGACTTTCTTTCTTCTAATAATTTCATCAATATTTTGTTTCCAGATAATTTTGCTTCATCAAGTGGAGTATTCCCCCATCTACACATTCACATAAATCATAAATGTTGTTATATATTTGATAAATTTTAGTGTTAACCCTAAATTAATAATTTCACAAAAATCCACCTGGCCTTCAATAAAACATTAGCCCATGCTTCAACTAACATCTTCACTATTACATAAGATCCTTGTGATGTGGCAACATGAAGTGGAGTTCTAAAGTCGTAATCTTTTGAATTTGGGTCAACACGATTTGACAAAGGGGTTGGCTAAAAAGACACCCCAATTTGCCATATAGACACCCTAATCAATTTTTGAAATATTTTTATTGGTTGAAATTGTATTGTTTTCCGAAAAAAGTTGATTATAAGTAGTTAATTATTGGTTGACATTTTATAAATATGCCAATAGGGTGTCTAAGGGGGTATCTTAATAGTAGCAACATTTGACAAAACCCTTATGATAAAATCTATGTCTCCGCTTGATACTGATGAACAAAAGAAACTTCCAGCATCTTCTATTTTGAATGAAGCACGATGTTTCACTAATAAGAAGCAATCTTATCATGCTCTTAATCGCTTCAAATAACGGCGTGTTCCTAAAATTATCTGTCATCTAGGTAAAATAATAAGGACTAGAATTTCAATTCAAGAAGTTGAAGGACTAGAATGTACGTTTATTTACCGAAAATGTTAACTTCTATGCCTTGTTGAATTAGGAAAAGAGTTATATTGTCGTGCCCTTTTGATGCAGCAAGTTGTTGTTCAGTGTTCATCCCAAAATAACTTGTTATCAAATGTGTACGTATTTTTTTTATTATTTATGTTTTTGTACGAAAATAAAATAAAATACCAATGGTGTTCTTCCATCCTAATCTATTTTATTTGGGTCAGATCCAGCTCGAATTAAACTTTTTAAATGAGATAAATCTCCACTATAAGCTGAACTATTGACTCTTAATGCAAGTTGTGCTTCTTGCATTCCAATATGAATTTTGATATTTGTTACCATATCTTTCATGTGATTATCACCTTCCTTACCCTACAATTATTTTTTAATTTAAGTAATGGCATTTAAGGTAAATATAAAAAAACAATTAATTAATTATTAATTGGTTACCTCTAGTAAATTGTTGAGAATTTTTCTTCCATCGTGAAAATATATGTCACGGATATTGGAAAAAGATTGTATATCAATCCCACTTCATCATCCTGTGATTATATAAAGATGCATAACACATAAGCTTAAAAAATGATCTCCCACCATCGTTCACGTTTTCTCCCACCTCTCGTCTTCTTCATCCATCGCCTCCAACACCCTTTACCATCGTCGGCCACCAACAACTATTGCCCCTACCACAAGCTTCTATTGATGGTTGTCTTTCCATCGTGTTCTTACTTCAAAGCCCGCCAACCGAACCACAAAAATCTTAGAGCATATTGACGAAGTTCACCAAAGAAGGAGGAGATGAAGCAGACACTCGAACCAGACGATACATGTTCGATTTCCATCGTGTTCTTCCAACAACACAATTTCAATTCAAATTCCTATTTGGTTTTGAGTTTTGAGTGTGATTTCAGTTTAAATTCAATTTCAAGCTTCAAATTGCCATCGATTTTGATTTCAGTTTTCATTTTTGATTTCGGTTTTAGGTTTGATGTAACGATCCAATTTTCACGTACAAAAATTTCATTTTTATAAATTACTTTAATTAAAACATTCGTAGGAAAAACATTGAAAAATCATAACATCTCATAAAACTATGTATAATGTCTAAAAATCCAAATCATAAAATCGTGATAATGTCAGAGTACAATCCCAAGGAAACTCATAGTGCGGAATTTGGGGTGTGTGTATGATGTGCAGCTACCGCGTCGGCTCCTTCCCCTTCGCTGAAGAGGTACCTGAAACAAAACTGAAAACTGTAAGCACGAAGCTTAGTGAGTTCCCCCACAATACCACATACCATACAATGTATTGTCAGGCAATTATGGGGTGCCTGACTTACCCAGGTCAAACCATTATGGGGTGTTTGACGTACCCAGGTCAAGCCATTATGGGGTGCTTGACATACCCGTCGGTCTATTTCACCCGACTACCGGGGACTATTTCACCCCCTACTACTACCACATAATCACATAGCATAATATAATATACTGTCAGACAATTCTGGGGTGTCTGACTTACCCAGGTCAAGCCATTCTGGGGTGCTTAACGTACCCGTCAGTCTATTTCACTCGACAACCGGGGACTATTTCACCCCTACTACTACTACCACATAGACACGTATCATATAAGCACATAACATAATAGGTAGCAGCAAACCTAGATGAATATCACAAAGATAATCATCTAACATCCAACTCCTACTAGTGGGCCGACATTATGGCCGTAGACCCACCGCTACTAGAAGGTAACTCACCTCGAAAGGTTGACTGCTGAAAAATTGTTCGGCAACTGACTGACTGTTGCTCTGGTAACCCTCCGGCTATAATTCCACAAAACACTCAGTTAGAATCTGATATCTACTCTTTGGGTAAAATGACTATTTTACCCCTAACCAAGTCCAAGACAAAGTCAACTTCCAGTTGACCCAACTCATCGAGTTGGGCAGCCAACTCGTTGAGTCCCTAACTCTTTACCCGTCCTTATCTAAGACTATACTCGTCGAGTTCAGCAACGAATTGACGGGATCCCTCTTCTTTATTAACATTGAATGAATCTTCATCCGACTCGCCAAGTCGGATGAACAACTCATCGAGTTCACCTTCATCTGATAAACAAGTCATCTCCTTAACTCGCCAAGTTGTATGAACAACTTGTCAAGTTCATCTTCAACTTGTAAGGAGATTGCCTTGGACTCGCCGAGTCCGTACTTGCACTTGTCGAGTCCCATGAACTCCAGATCTAAGGCTGAGTCCAATACATTGGGTCACTCTCTTGGACCCTCTAAAAACCCTTCTAGTGCTCAAACGAGTTCCTTCAAACCTTAACAGAAAAGGGGAGTTTTGCCTCGGACTCGTCGAGTCCCAAGAACGACTCGTCGAGTTGGGCATGTCCAAGTCTCATTTCTCGATTTACAGCGTACAACTCTTGACCAAAAGGTAGATCTAAGCTCCTTCAATCGTTCTAGCACGTAAAGTTACAAACTTTACGTGCATACATGGGACTTTGAGCTCAAAAGGACATAAAATAAGCTCTTATGATGTATGGGACCTTAGATGGGTGCAAAAGCAACCCAAATTAGCCTTGTGACTCCTTCCAAGACTTAGATCTAAGGTCTTGACCCCCAACCATGTTTGCAATCATGGTTGGCTACCTCGTATGGCTTAAAAAGCCCTAAATCCTCCCCAAAAAGGGATCTAACAAACAAGCAAGCAAGGTACATACTTTATACCTCTCAAAGACTGCAAATGATGAACCAAAATCGAATCCTTCAGTCTCCTCTTGATCCTTCTATGCTCTTCCTTCTTCCTTGAGGTCAAAACCCACAAAAATCACTCAGAAGCCTTAGATCTTGCACCAAAACACTTAGGGTTTACTATGGAGGGTTTCTGGGAGCAATAAGGATGAGGGGTGGCTGAAAGAGATGATTAAATATGGTGTAAACCCTCAAATTAGGGTTTTTTCCGCGGACTCGTTGAGTAGGTCATTAAACGTCTGTGTCCAATACGCTCTGACTCGACGAGTTGGACCTCAACTCGCCGAGTCCAATGCCAAAATGCAAGATATTAGAATAAAATACATACGAGGAGCCAGTTGCTACATTTGAATTCATGTTTGATTTTGAGTTTTGAGTTTGATTTCAGCTTTAGTTCGATTTCAAGCTTCAAATTGTCGTCGATTTTGATTTCAGTTTTCATGTTCTTTTGGTTTCAAGATTGCTTTCAAGATCAATTTAAGGTTTAAGTTCCAATTTTGGTGATTATCAGAATCTGATTTGTTGCTAAAGAAGACCAGAATTTCCATCGATTTCATAAGAAACCACTTATTTGACTTCTAATAATATGGCTCGGAACCACCAATGACCTGTTTGAGATCGCTTCCAAGTTGATTTCTATTTTTTTTAATTCATGGAATGTGTTTGGGTTTGATGGAGGTTTGCTGGAGAATACATTATTTTGATTTTGGTTTGGTATTTGTTGTTGGTTCGTCGGAGAAGACTGGGTTATGGATGGTTCGCCGGAGAAGACGAATTTGTGGGTGATTTACAAAGAAGAAGGATAGGGGTGGGGTGGAGTGATAATTTAGGACCCATTAGATTTTAATATTTAATTAATACCATTTCCATATTTAATTATTATTTTTTAATTAACTGATAATTTAAAAAATATAAAACATATCAGTAAGGGTAAATTAGTCATTTTAGAACGAACATGGACTAAATGTGCAACAAAAATTAAAAATAAGTATGATCCGAGTTAAAAAAATATTGTTAGGGACCAAACACACTGATTACCCTAAACCACATGGACTATTCGTGTAATTTTCCATTTTTATTACTATTTATTATTATTATTAATATCACTATTCTTCTTTTAAATATGAATATTATGATCGAAAAAAAATACAAAGTTCCTTATCATATATATATATATATATATATATATATATATATATATATAATATATATATATATATATATATATATATATATATATATATACTTCTTATTTATCCTTCTAAAAATATAATTATATTTTCAAAAATATCAAAACAATAACAAACTTCAATCTTTTAAACAAACTTTAAAAATCATATTTTCAAATACTATTAAACTTATCAGGTTATCAATAAATCATAAAAAGAACTAAATCAAAAGTCATATTCTCAAATACTATTAAACTTATGACAAGGGTTCTAATATGAACCAAAACAATAAAGACAATTTTTATATATAAGATTTTTCATAAACTCATAATAAACCTTGTAAAAAAGAACTAACATAGAAAACTCATTTCATGTCATGCAATTACTCAAAACCATATTAATAAACATTTTTCATATTTTTCAAACTTAAAACAAGTATCATAACTTTTTTCTTGCAAATAATCATAATCACATTAATGCTAACATTTAGTTCATAGAAAATAACTTGTTAGCGAGTATCCCATGATAAAAATCAACATGTACTCATCTCAATAGGCAGGTCACTAAGTGTAATATTGATATCACCATATTTCACTATAAGAAAATTTCAAAATACCTACAGAAGGTTGCTATGGAACGTATCTGAAGTCGAGGATTTGGATGATGAAATCTAATTCAAGGGGGGAGAGAGAGAGAGAGAGAGAGAGAGAGAGAGAGAGAGAGAATTGTAACACCTAGTTCCATGTAAGCATTTCTTTCAAGTTATTAATTAAATATATAAGGATTTAAACCTTGGTCATGACTTGAGCACTTGTGTGTTACGACGTGACCATTCCCGAGAAAACGCGCATCCCATTTAACTGTCTCGACGTGATCACATGAGGGCCACAACGTGACATCCTTTGTATGCTAAAACACTAATTTCAGGGATTGCCCCTATTTAAGGGAAGTGAGGACTAGGGTTTTCTCACCCCAAGTCTCCATTACATCCCTCCGACCTCCAAAATCCCTAATGTCCAATTATTGAAGTTTGAGCTCCATTTTTAGTGATTTGAAGCCTTGAAGAAGAAGATAGGGAATTTGGTGCATTATTTCAGCTTCCTAGCTACTCCATCATCATCTTGAGTTGCATTAGGACTCTTATAAATCCTCAAGTTCCTGGATTTTTAACTTAAGCTTGCTAAATCTAGTGCTTGGCTCACTTTCCTCATAATTTATGGATGTTTGAGTGTTGGGATCTCATAAAGTTGGCAACTTTATGAGTTCCCAAGACTCCTTTGCTACTCTTTTTCTAGATCTGGAATATTAGTGAGTTTTGGGTTTCATGCATGGGATTAGAGCTCATTTTCCGTTTACTTTGACCTACCTGGTGTTTGGGACATGCATTGGACATGCATGTCCAAAAAGCTATGATTTTTATGGTATTATGTGATAGATAAGGCCTTCTTAAAGGTCTGGTTGCATGGTTTAAAGGATTAAGAGCTTAAGGTTTTAGTTTGTCCAGAGTGTTCGTCACTCCGTGGCACTTTGGGTCATCAGGATGTAATGGGGGACTGATCCGCGATTATTTTGTCTCTATTATGCCACGACATGATCAATGGGTGGTTAATGGTCAAAGTTAACTCTCCACGTCATAGTTATCCCTGGTCACATTGTGGCCATCAAATGAAAAAACACACACATTCTAGTCACCACGACGTGGCAACCTACGCAACAGCGTGGGCACCGGGTTTTTAACAACTTAATGGATTAAGTTGCTTTCTTCGATCCTAAGGGTTCCAAATTCTAGATCTAGTCCGAAGCAAATTCTAGAAGGATAAAGTTTCCAACTTTACCCGTTAAGACCATCGAAAAGGTGAAAATCTCAAACCCTAGATTCAAATAAGCTAAATAAGACATGAATTTCTCCATTAAGCACCTA